TCTCGGTGATGATCATTGAAAATACAACATCATCCTCACGTTTAAAGTCTACAGACTCTACGCATATGCTCACATTGACTATATAATACCTTTCGCGCATAACTAGCACTGGAAAACTCAAAAGCCAAGACAAGCATATTGTAGAGAGTAAAATAGAGTTGAGAGAGAATGAACTAGAGGGTGAGTTGGAAAAAGGAGGACTCTAAATGACTTAGAGAGTATTTGGTTTGTTCATTGAGAATATACATAATGAACTAGAGAATATACATAATCTCGTTTCTGTTCATTGAGAATATAACATATCTTGTCAATTCAAAAAAAAGAATAAACATATCTTCACGTTTATAGTCTATAGACTCTATACACATACACTCACAGAGACTGTAGAATTATACTTTTCTCACTTAACTAACATTGGAAAACTTGGTGACTTCTCTATATAGCAAACATCAATCACTCTTTACCTCTAAAGTAGAGCCTCAGAGCTTGAAGAAGATATTTGATCTCTTTTCTTTTTGTCTGAAAGCTTTGAGATATTTGGTGTTTTCCTTAGAGCCCTCAAAGGAGATCAGACCAAACAACACTCATCTATTACAGAATAAGGTTCTTGAAACATCATAGTACTTTATCTGAAGAGCCTTTTGGGAGAGGTCCATGCATGGATTTTGCTTTAGGATCAAGACTTTGCCTCCGAGTTTTGGCATTGGTTGCTTCTGCCTGATTAGACAACAATGCTCAGTGATCGTATACCATCAGTAATGAAAAGCAGTGCGAAGGGATCCTTTGTAAGAAGCCCTTATGATAATACCTTTGGTTTTGTCGGTAAGCGTATCCTCTCTACAGCTCTTGCTGCAGGCCTGGATAGCTGAATTTGGAGAAGAAATATTAGTGCAAGGATACAAAGACACTAGTCATTGTTAAACCATCAAGTTGCTACAGTTTGGTTTGCTCATCAGACATGTTACCTCCTGTTTTTGAACTGTCCCATTGCTTTTCGGTACAGAAGATGAAGAACGTTGAGAGTTAGCATCCTTTTTCTCTGAGGCATTTGATTTGGCAAGCCTGTTTCAGGTAAATAATACAACTTTAGGACTCAAACAAGACATGTTGAAAAAGTTTAGTAGATATGAATTGAAGACAGAGGGCATAACTCCCACTTCTACCTGCCATTAGCTATCCTCGAAACACTAGTTGTCTTTGCAGGAACCTAGTGTAAAACATTGGGAGTATTTCATCGATGTTTAGTTACTAACCAACAGAATCTCTATCACTTAATGAAATAGTAAAAGACTATACCTGCTTTGGAGCTGTATCTTCCCCATCACCAGATGGTCTCAATTGGTCGAAACTCTTCTGAAAAGACTTAAATGCACGTCTAACGATTTCTTTATCTCCCATTCGTTCCATGATCAAAGATTTTCTGGTTGTAACAAGAGCAGTAGGATCAGAGCTCGGTTGAGCCAGATTGAGAGAAGTGTCTAATGTCTTTGGAGCGGTTTGTCTCTTTCTCGGTAAAGTCGCGACATTTTCCTTCTTTACTGAAGAGCCAGAAGTAGACATTGAACTAATTGTTGAAACTGGCTTGGACACTCTTGGAGTTGAAAGGGATTTTGAGATAGGTGATGCTGCTTTGTTTGTTGTCTTTATCCTACTTTTCTCTTTGCTTGGTTGAAATTTCCTACTCGTTACAATCTTGCTCGTTACCGGTTTCTTGTTTATTTGATTAGGCTGAAACAGAAAGAGACCAAAATACCAGGACAAAGTCATTTGGAGGAAATTATGAGACATCTTTCATACATATAAGGAAGCTTATGGTATTTTACCTTGGAAGAGCCTCTTGTATGGTTTGTTCGCACATTTTTATCTGTCTTCTTGATTAGATTCTGATCTCTCTCTTTCTCTTTCTTTGTCTCCTTCATTGGTGTTTCATTCATTTCGCCAGTATCCTTTGATGAAATATCTTCTTTCGTTTCGTCTTTTACTTCTTCCTCTATACAAACAATCTCTTCTGGTTTCTCTTTATCCTCCAATTGGACGATCAAATCGTGTTTTTCCTCCACACGAACAATCTCTTCAAGTTTCTCTAACTTCAATCGAGCATCAACCGAGCTTTGACATTCCTTGAAATTAGTAGTTTCTTCAAGAACCTCATCAATACATGTCTCATTTACTTCAGTAGCAATGCTGGTCTCAAGCTTATCTTCCTCAGACGTACTCACACCATTAGATCCATAACATTCATTAGACTCGATCATAACCGACTCGTCATTTTCACTGTCTATGTTTCCACGGTTCTGAACACTCGACGCATCCCTCTCCAATTGTTTCTCCTGCTCCAAGATGATCTCGGCTTTTCTCTCAGCGATCTTCTTGTAATGTGATTCGAAATAAGCCTTCTTTTGAGCTACTGATCCTGGAGTTGCACACTTCTCTACTTCTTCCAAGTACTTGTTGGGAGAGAAAGACGAAAACTTCTCCCATGATAGTGAATCATTCTCAAACTTACCAAACGAAATAGAAACTTGCAGATCTTGATTCGATGAAGCCGCGGTCATTATCTGGTAAACCACAAACCAAGTCAATTAAACACTTGACTAATCATGGCAAATCAAGAACCACACAGATACATAACAGAGATCATAAAGACATTGACAGTAATATCAATAAACCTTTTTAGCATAAATCTAAAACAAACACATCAAATCAAGTTGGAGTAACCTTATCTTCACTATTGGCAATACCAACTTCAGTATCCATCATTAATACTCACCAGAGAGAACTCCAACCACACAAAACCAAAGAATCTATTCACTTCCAAACTTAAACAAGCTAAGAACAAACCAGAATCCACTTGGATTTGGACTGAAACAATACGAATAAGCAGAATTTTAACATCTAACAGTTTCAGGTTCACTTTACACCTAACATAGATGAAGAATTGTAACAAAGGAAAAGTTTGGTTGAGTAATTAGTAGCTACGTTCAATTTTGGCATTTTAACACAAAACTTTCTTAGTGAGCAAACTCAGATTCTTCTGAAAATATCTAAATGAGTAAGCTTTTCAATAATTGAAGAAGCTATAGAAAGAGAAAATACCCTCACTCATCAATGATTAAAGCTAAGAAATTAATCATTTCAAATCCAAAAAGAAAGAGAGAATCTAGTGGCAATCTTATAGTAAGCTTTACCTGAAAAAGTGAAGATAAACCGACAAATTGTTTGTGTTACCAAAACGATGATGGAAACAAAAAGTTGAAAACAAAAGTAAAGATTCACCAATGCCTTTCAAAGTTGAAAACTTTTGGGGGATAAAGAACACAAAAGAAGACCTATCAAAAGTTTGGTCGAAAATTCCAAATAC